CACCTGGAGCTGCAGCTAGCAAGAGATGTCAAGAGTAACAAGAAGGGTTTCTTCAGGTATGTTGGCAACAAGAAGAAAGCCAAGGAAAGTGTGGGCTCCTTAATGAATGAGGGAGGCAACCTAGTGACAGAGGATGTGGAAAAAGCTAATGTACTCAATGCTTTTTTTGCCTCTGTTTTCACTAACAAGGTCAGCTCCCAGACTGCTGCGCTGGGCATCGCAAAATGGGGAAAAGATGGCCAGCCCTCTGTGGAGAAAGAGGTGGTTAGGGACTATTTAGAAAAACTGGACGTGCACAAGTCCATGGGGCCGGACGAGTTGCATCCGAGAGTGCTAAAGGAACTGGCGGCTGTGATTGCAGAGCCATTGGCCATTATCTTTGAAAACTCGTGGCGAACCGGGGAAGTCCCGGATGACTGGAAAAAGGCTAATGTAGTGCCAATCTTTAAAAAAGGGAAGGAGGAGGATCCTGGGAACTACAGGCCAGTCAGCCTCACCTCAGTCCCCGGAAAAATCATGGAGCAGGTCCTCAAAGAATCAATCCTGAAGCACTTACATGAGAGGAAAGTGATCAGGAACAGTCAGCATGGATTCACCAAGGGAAGGTCATGCCTGACTAATCTAATCGCCTTCTATGATGAGATTACTGGTTCTGTGGATGAAGGGAAAGCAGTGGATGTATTGTTTCTTGACTTTAGCAAAGCTTTTGACACAGTCTCCCACAGTATTCTTGTCAGCAAGTTAAGGAAGTATGGGCTGGATGAATGCACTATAAGGTGGGTAGAAAGTTGGCTAGATTGTCGGGCTCAACGGGTAGTGATCAATGGCTCCATGTCTAGTTGGCAGCCGGTATCAAGTGGAGTGCCCCAAGGGTTGGTCCTGGGGCTGGTTTTGTTCAATATCTTCATAAATGATCTGGAGGATGGTGTGGATTGCACTCTCAGCAAATTTGCGGATGATACTAAACTGGGAGGAGTGGTAGATACGCTGGAGGGCAGGGATAGGATACAGAGGGACCTAGACAAATTGGAGGATTGGGCCAAAAGAAATCTGATGAGGTTCAATAAGGATAAGTGCAGGGTCCTGCACTTAGGACGGAAGAACCCAATGCACAGCTACAGACTAGGGACCGAATGGCTAGGCAGCAGTTCTGCAGAAAAGGACCTAGGGGTGACAGTGGACGAGAAGCTGGATATGAGTCAGCAGTGTGCCCTTGTTGCCAAGAAGGCCAATGGCATTTTGGGATGTATAAGTAGGGGCATAGCGAGCAGATTGAGGGACGTGATCGTCCCCCTCTATTCGACATTTGTGAGGCCTCATCTGGAGTACTGTGTCCAGTTTTGGGCCCCACACTTCAAGAAGGATGTGGATAAATTGGAGAGAGTCCAGCGAAGGGCAACAAAAATGATTAGGGGTCTGGAACACATGAGTTATGAGGAGAGGCTGAGGGAACTGGGATTGTTTAGGCTGTGGAAGAGAAGAATGAGGGGGGATTTGATAGCTGCTTTCAACTACCTGAGAGGTGGTTCCAGAGAGGATGGTTCTAGACTATTCTCAGTGGTAGAAGAGGACAGGGACAAGGAGTAATGGTCTCAGGTTGCAGTGGGCGAGGTTTAGGTTGGATATTAGGAAAAACTTTTTCACTAGGAGGGTGGTGAAGCACTGGAATGCGTTACCTAGGGAGGTGGTAGAATCTCCTTCCTTAGAAGTTTTTAAGATCTGGCTTGACAAAGCCCTGGCTGGGATGATTTAATTGGGGATTGGTCCTGCTTTGAGCAGGGGGTTGGACTAGATGACCTCCTGAGGTCCCTTCCAACCCTGATATTCTATGATTCTATGACTCTATGATTCCACCCCACAACGGTTTGGGGCCAGAATCCTCTGCTTGGTTTTCAGCCAGTGCCGGGTGCTAGTTGAGAAACGGGGCTACCCCTGGAAGTTCGGTCCATGCTGTCGCTGCCCAGCGGGACAGGAGCATGCTGGCTTCCGTTAGGTTCCTGGGCAAGTGCCTCTCTCCTTCTCCAGACTAAAGATCTCGCCCCTTGTCACCCTCTCTCCAGCTGTCCCTGTAAGAGGGTCAGATTCTGGTGGAGCAGCTCAGGCAACAGCGGGGGTCTTCCTGCCCCCTCGCCCCCCAGCCGGCCTGTCCACGGTACGCAGAGCGCCCTGGGCCCTGACCGTCGCTGCCGGGTGGTGTGTGAAGATGGTTCTCTGCCAGCTGCTGCTGAGCATGAGGCATCGCTGGCCTGCCGGCACCCCCAGCAGAGGGAGATGGTGCCTCTCCCAAGTGGCTTGGCTCCTTGCTTCCCCATGCCACTGCCCCTCTGCCCCAAGGACTCCCCCACCCAGGGGGTTCCCTGAGGCTGTGCTCTGGCCAGCCTCCTGCTGGCTGTGCATATGGGGTGGCTGGGAGTTTCAGCGAGGCGGCCCCAAGTTCCAGCAGCAGGTGCGTATCATCCCCTGCTCAGAGACCGAGGCGCGGCTGAGCTGGCTGGCTGCGCCCTCGCTCTGCTAAGACACGGGTGACGCTGGGAGGAACGGTTGAGCCCCTGCCAGCACCTGCCCTGTGCTGCCCAGGCTTACTGCCCTGGATCTAGCTGTACCCCAGCTGCTGGGGAAAGTCCAGCTAGCCCAGCGACGAGGGCGTCCCATCGGCTCTGCTTGGCACGGGGGTCCCAGCGTCTGCCCGTTCCTTTGGGAGGCAGGGACCTGGCTGGCAGGTGCTGAGCGCATCAGTCCTAATGACTCTCATGGCAGCTGATGGGCTCGCAGCAGAAAATCAAGCCATTTAGTTAGGCCCCTAAATCTGGATTCAGGGGGCGTTCGCATCTGCAGTGTTTGCTATATCAACGCTTCTCGCCGCCCTGCTCCTGCTTCCGCAGCCGAGCGCGCCGCGGTCCCTGGCTGAGGAGTGTTAGGAATCGTTAATTATTGAGCATGGTTGAGCCGCTAGGGATGAAGACGCTGCGGCTCGGGTCGCTTCGTGTGGCTGCCAGCAGCTCCGGTCCATCTCATCTTCTGGGCTAGCTGTTCCCAGTGGGTAGAACACAGGCCTAGGAAAGGGCTCTCGCCCTGAGCCCATGGGGTGACCCTGGGCCAGTCACGTCCCTACTCCGTGCCTCAGTTTCCCCAGCTGTAAAATGGGGAGAACACCGCCGCCCTCGCAGACGCTAGCTCGTGGCTGCGTAGAAAGAGCTCTGGTGAACTGCAGCATTGGTTTGCAGCGGAGAAGAGACAGGAGTGGGCTAATATCAAGGGGATTCTGTCTTCAGGCTGCCGGCCTGGTGGCTCTCTCTCCTCCAGCCTAGTGTCATCACACAGGGTATCCCCTAAGCCCTGACCTGGGCTCTGTAGTCCAGGAAGGCACTGCTGACTGCATTACAGGCCGTGCCAGGCGACGGTGCAGTGTCCTGGGCCTGGGGGTGAAAGTAACATAAAGGACTTACCGGGACGCTGGAGTCCTAAGCAGGAGGCGTGGCCTCAACCAGAAGAGGCGGGGCCTTTAAAGCCCCGGGCCCTTTAAATCAGATTTAAAGGGCCCGGGGCTCTGGCTGCGGAAGCGGCAGCGGCGGCTGGGAGCCCCAGGCCCTTTAAATCACCGCTGGAGCTACCAGCTGCGGAGGTATCCGGGAGCCCAGGAGCTCCAACCATGATTTAAAGGGCCCGGGGCTCCCAGCCACCTCTACCGCAGAGGAGCCCCAGGCCCTCTAAATTGCCGGCCTGGGGAAGCCGGTACGTTGGGCCGTGTACCGGCTCTTTCACGTCTGCCTGGGTCTGGGGGCTGCCGGACTGCGCCAGTGAGGTGAAATCACCCCAGCCCGCTCCCCTGCCCCCCAGCTGATTGCCACCCATGCCACAGATTCTGCAGTGGGCTGGGCCCGCGTGGCAGCAGAGTTGGGGCCAGGGCCTCTGGACCGACTGCAGAGGGATATTCCCCTTGCTAAGTATAGCACAAAGCTGGCTCCCGGCCTGGGGCAGGCACCAGCTGGATTTATTTAGCTGCAGCTTAAGATCAGCTTTGTGCGGGCGACTGGAGAGAGCCAGGGCCAAGCGGGGGAGGTTGCTGATTAGTGCCCAGGGATTTTCCCTCTCCAGAGGTCTCGTGGGCGTTGGCAGGGCTCTCCCTCCTGGGAAGGGAAAGTGGCTCCTACCCGCCTTTCTTTGTCCCTCTGCACCCTGGCAATGGGGGAGCTGGAGAGCAGCTGTGTCTAGAGAAACAGGGAAGCTTCCCCTCAGGGCAGGTCGTCCCATCACCGCCTCCTGCAGGGGATGTCTGTACAGCACCTAGACCCCCCCAGCTGCAGCGCCCTCACCCGGGGTACGGCAAAGCACCCTGCAGACGTTCCTGCGCTGCCAGCGGGGGCGCTGGGGAGTCACACCCCGGCTTGCTGCGCTCTGACGTCCTGTGTAGACGAGCCCCGCCGGTGTCAGGCCACTGGCTTCAGAGACACTTGGGAAGAGCCTGGGCCACTCCATATGTCTGTCTCACCTCTCAAGGTCTTTCCTTGGCGCAAGGCTGACACCTTCCTCTGTGTGGGGGGAAGGGGGGGCAGGTGGATCTGTTTGCTAGGGGGCTGGCCTGGGACTTGGGAGATTTGAGTTCAATTCCCTCCTCTACCACAGACTCCCTGTGTGACCTGGGGCCAGTCACTTAGTGGCTCTGTGCCTCAGTTTCCCCACCTGTGCAGTGGAGATAATCACATGGCCCTGCCTCACAGAGGCGTGTGAGGGTAAGTCCAGTAAAGATTGGGATGCGCCCAGATACTACGGTGACGCGAGCCATGGACGCCTTAGCCAGAGAGTTGCAGTCAGTTAACAGTGGCGTTCAATCCTAAGGGGGCTTATTTGTGGCTGTGTTTGGTCCTGTGGCCAGGGTGTGGAGGCTGCGCTCACGGGGGTCCTGGAAGCGGATCCCGTCCCCCGAGATGGTGGGCTCCGCTTTCGCCTCATTACGATGGGCCCCACCCACTTCCCGTTCATGAACAAACGGCCCCTCCTACCTGCCTGCATTTCGGACCACAGCTCGCCTACCCCCGACTCCACCAGGAAGGTCCTGCTGTGCCGGGAACGCCGGAGCTGCTCTCTGGCTGCAAGGAGAAAGCAAAGGGATCGGGTGTGAGAGGGCCACGGGGGGGCGGCTGTGAGCCGGACAGGCTGTGTGGAGGTCTGACCTTGACGGTCATTCAAACCACCTCTCAGTGGAGTTCGGGGAGTCAGACCAGAAGAGCAAGCAGTGCTGCAGGGCACGGCCGAACTGGGGGCAAACCCAGGGCTGAGCTAGCAGAATGGCTGAGTCGAGATTGAGGGGGGGAACCTCAGGACTGGACTGATGGGGGAGCGGTGGGTTGGGATTGAGGAGCATTGATGGTGCGGTGTGTGGGGACCCTAAGACTAGAATAATGGGGGGCCTGGGCTGAGAAAGGGGGGGCCTCAGCTCTGCTGTATGTGGGAAGCCCAGGACTGGAATAACGGGGGGCTGGAGGGCTGGGATTGAGGGGCATCAGCAGAGCTGTGTGGGGGAGGTTTCCCTATATCTTGCCTGCATCGTGTCTGCCTCAATCGATGCTAATCATCTTTCATTTTTATGGCCTTAAAATCACCCCGAAATTGCCAGATAAAAACCTGCACCAAATTACCCATTGTGTTTTCTTGGGAGAGCGAAATCAAAGCTGCCCTGTGCAGGCGTCACCCAGAACTCGGAGACGCTACAGCGTGATCTCTCAGGCCGCGGTGACAAGGCTGCTGCCCACGCATCAGGGGCCCGAGTTCCTGGCCTATCAAGCTGGAGTGGGAGACGAGTGGGAGACGGCTCTCGGCCAGCTCAGCCAGCCCACCGCAGAACCTTCCAGGAGCAGCGCAGCTGGGCGGGGCAGGGCTCCACCCCGCAGTGGGTTGGCAGCAGCTGGCCTTGGTGCGGATGTCTGGACGTGCAACGGGCTGCTAGCGAACCATGGGCCGAGCCGCTGGGAGACGCAGGGCAGCATCTTTGTTTGTAACAGTGTGTGTGTGTGATACTGTCCGCCCCCATTGTTCCAAAGCACTTAGCAGCCATTGCACCCAAAGGGTGCCCAGGGATCACTTCACCCCCACAATGCAGTCACCTCTGGGGTGGGGCTCGGCTGCTGTTCCGCAGCGCACAGCAACAATACGAGGAAGGAGAATACTGGCAGGGCGGGATGGGATTCACAGTGCAACTCCCTGAGCTGGAGTTTGGCCAGGACACGGGAGTTACTGCCCCATCGATGATCACAGGGCAACCAGAGCTTCTCTTCTGAATGACTGAGCAACACAGAGCCCCACGCGCCACACTGGGGCCTTGCTTCAATACCCACTCAGAGAGCAGAGCACCCCCTGGCCTCTTGGTGAGGTATTGACTTGCTCAAAACTGACAGAGGGATATGGCCCCCCTAGTTACCAGCCCCCCGCATTTCCTCCCAGCCAACCAATAAATAGCTTCATGCTGCTCAGCTGTAGATCTGACAAGACCAGCAGCTGAGCCACTGCTGGCTTGTAACTCCCGTCTGGTCTGCGCTGACCTCACCTCCTTCCCACCCCCCGGGAGAGGAGTGGACAGGATGGCGCTGTGGCTCCCATGTTGTTCCTGGGTTGATTGTAACTTTGGGGTGGAGTTTCGCCCCCCCCGCCCCCGAAGCTCTCATTATGCTGGGGCAGGGAGGAAACACAAAGATGCCAGATAAAAAGCAGGTCTGGCCAAGATGTGTTTGGTCAGCGAAGCCAGGAAGGGCGGGGAGATGTGTGGAGAGGGTGGGGCTGCCTGTCCAGGGGTCTATTTTCGGCTCACTGGGACGTGCTTTTCCCTGTTAGCTCATCAGCTTTTGCCCAAGGATGTAACAACAAACAACAGGCACGTTGCTAAACGCTCCCGCCCCACAAAACCTCTCGCTCTGTAAAACGCAGACATGGATCATGGGGAAGAAACAGGCCTATGGGATCGGACTGAGCCCACAGCTCTCTGCGGTACATTTACTGCTATTAATTAATTATTATTATTCCGGTATGAACACCATTGCCTCCCAGCAGCATGCTAGCACCGTACACTGAGTACAGACAGGTCCCTGCCTCCAAGATCGTACAGTCTAGAGGCCAGATGCTCAGCTAGTGTAAATCAGCTTCAGTGGTGCAAGACGGATCTACACCTGTTAAAGCTCTCGCCTTGTATTCACCATTTGCGCCTGCTTTGTCCACAATGTCCTGGGCAATGATTCTACCGCTGGGGTACAGCTAGGGTAGGGATACCAGACATCCTGATATTAGGGGCGTTGTCTTATATATGCAACTATACACCCCCCTCCCCCCCGGGGGAAAAAAAAAGTGTTCTGGTTTTTCACACTCGCTACCTGGTCACCCTAAGCTAGGGTACTTTCTCAGGAGGTAAATATTACAGAGCCTGCAGTGGAAACTAGGGCAATGAGCTGTGTTTAAGCAGCACCGCCCTCTGCTGCAGAGAACCAGAGCTGCTTAGCTGTGTGTCAGATCTTCTATACTTAGTGGAGATTCTCCTTTAGCTCAAGTAGCTTTAACCAGGGCTTTTAAAGCAAGGAACCTGGGTTCTGCCCCTGGTATTGTGAGGAAGTTCTCAGTGGCCATGGTGTCTACTCTGACACTCCTAGACAGTTCAGGATTTGCTCTAATGTCTTGTGGTGTGACTGCACCTGAAAAACAGGTTGAAAGCTCAGCGGCTCTGAGTTTAACAAGAGGACGGGCAAAATGAAAGCCAAGGGACAAGAGGGAGAGGGACAAACACAAGCAAGCACAGGGAAACCAAAGGCTTAGCTGAGACAGAGACAGTTTAAACTGGAAATTTAAGGCCAGGAAAGTAAGGGGGGGATTTGGGGACGCCCGGGGCAGATTGGAAGGAGAGCAAGAGATGTTTTTACAGATGAGAGACCTGTAAGAAAAGAGGGTTATGACCATGGGAGACTTTAATTACTCAGATCTTGACTAGGAAAACATCTATTGTCTGCCCAAAGCCGACCAGGTGTCTGGAGATATTAAAGCAAGGCAGGATATTTGCTTCTGTAATGCAGTTTGTCAAACAGCCAGTCAGAGGCTCTTCGGAGGAAATGAACCAAACAGAAGGAAGGCAGAAGTTGGACGAATAGATGAGCTCGAGATTGTACAACAAGAGGGGAAATCTTGTGGTTAAGACACAAAACCGGCCAGCTGTGTGACCTTGGGCAGGTAGCACCACTGTTCTGTGCCTCTGTTTCCCCATTGGTAGAAGGAGGACAATTCTAGCTGTTTAGCTGGCCACCATGACTATAGCATCTTACAGGCATTACAACAGTAGGTAAGAATTATTGTTCCCATTTTACAGCTAACACCACAGCCTGGCTCTTATCTAGCGCTATTCATCGGTAGATCTCAAAGGAGGGCGGTACCATGATCCCCATTTTACAGACAAGGAACCTGAGGCCCAGAGAGATTAAGTGACTTGCCCAAGGTCATACAGGGAGTTTGGGGCAGAGCCAAGACTCAACTCTCCCAAGTCTCAAGGTCTCCCAAGTTGCAGGCCAGTACCTCCACCACGTGACCATCCCGCCCCAGTGAGGCTGGGCAGACAAGCAGAGCAATATTCTAACGTGCTCTGAGCTCACCTGCGAGAGAGGAACATTACTACGAACTCCTGCTACAGATGAGAAGGAGCCTGGCAGAGCTGCTGGGTAGCTCCGTGTTGCGTCACAGAAGGCGTGACGGACCGGACAGCTCTGGACAAACTCCTCCGTCACGCGATGGACCCTGGTGCCCTGTGTCAGATGACACCTTCTGGTCAGGCCAGTGGCCTGTGTCTGGCTGGTTTATACTGAAGCCCACAAATGGCACCCGCCTTGCAGCACAAACCCTCCCTGGTTCCAACACAGAGACAGGGCTGACACTCGGCATGCGTGGTCCCTCGTGCCTACGTGGGCTAAGGTCCTGGGGGCTGAGCTAGCCACATGGGCACCACCACGCTGTTGAGCCTTTAGTCATGCCGGTGGCACTCATGGAGTTTATAGGACTTGAGGCCCAGCTCCTCAGAAGGCATTCAGGTGCCTAACTCCCATTGGAATCAGTGCCGCTGCCCCAGCAGATGTGACAGCGGAGGGCGGGCCGCAGGACACAGACAGACCCTGTGGCTCGCACGGCATCAGCGCCGGACTAACCCAGGCCCCAGACAGGCCTGGAATGGAGCGCAGCCTCCGTCGCAGACGGCCACAGCGTTGCTTTCTCGGAGCAAAGAGGACAGCCCTGGGTGACTCTGTTTACCCACAGAGAAGACACAGCAGGCCAGGGTCCCTTCCTCACATGCCACCTTCTGCCTGACCTGGAGAGGCAGCCTCCGGGAGTGGGAAGAGCCTCGTAAGCCCATGCCTCTCTGTTGGGACGGCCAGCAAGGGGGCCAGTAAGGACTGTAGACGCTTGGCCTACGGGCCCTGGGCTGAGGCTGGTGCGTGTTCCACAGCAGAGCTCTACCGTAGCCGTGATGCACACATCCAGCTTGCATCTCTTGGCAGGTGATGAGGGAGAGGCCCTGCGGGATGCAGGGCAGACGGGGGCAGGTGTTCTCTGCTTTTCTGTAAGCTGCACTAGGGGAGGGAAGGGGTGGCCCAAATTGCAGAGCTCCATGTGATTGGCGACCTCAGTGTCTGGCCCTACCGCAGTTCCTGAGGACAGACTAGATTCTGTTCTCAGCTACACAGAACTGCAGAGGAACCAGGGCTGGATTCAGTTTCCAGTTATCTTGGGGTAAATCCAGAATCACGCACTGACTGCTACGGGGTTGGAGCCAGATTCTGATCTCCGTAACTCTAGTGTAAATCCAGACTCACCCTGCTGACTTCAGTGTGCGTCTCTCTAATGCTAAACCTGACCCAGGCTCATCTCTGGGATAGCGACGTGATGGAGCAACTGGGGATTTACACTGATTGGATCTGGCCAGCTGGACCTGAAAGGCCAGGCGCACTCCAGCTTGCTAGGAGTTCAGGATCGTGGATCTGACTTTGAACATCCAGGAAACTGCAAAGGATGTCCAGGAATCCAAACCAGACAGCATAACCTAAATGAAGTCCCAAGTGAAGGGGTGGGA